CCAATTTTTATATTTCAAAGAATTGTCCTCTTTAAATTAGACCTAATGTAGTTTTTACATGCTTGAGGCTATATAATTATTGTCAATGAAATATAGTGCTGTTTTTCTATGTGTATGTGTATGCTTGATTTAATCATGTAAAGCCATATAGAATATATTGAATTTCCTTTTTTCCTTCAACAGGCATTTGCTAATAGAATGTTTTTTTTTTATCCCACTGTACTACATCTCCAGAAACAATACTGCTACTTAAAGTTGAGGCTTGCAACAGGTTTTGTGATCACTCCTGTTTGATGGGTAGGAAAAAGCGAATGACAACATTTGGATTTGATGAAACCTATGACATAAAAAATAGAGTGATGAGAGAGAGTCTTTTAAAACTGAGCAAATAATTTAAACTTCCAGCTTAGCCCTATAACTCAATTATAATTAAAGACTTTTTGTGTGTTTCCATGACCAACTTACACAATTTCCTATGGATGGTGACATTTCCCCCAGTAACTATAAAAGAATACTGTAGGCTACGTAATAGTACACAGGGGCTTCAGTTTTCTAATTTGGATAGACTTACAAGTTAAAATGCTGTTCAGGGGGTAAGACTGCAAGTTAATTGCTGAAGAAGGCAGTAGGTTTGGTTTTTCCAACTAAAATTACTCTTTTTCATAAAAAGAAAATGTTTTGGATCTTAGGTGAGGTAATAAATATAAAAAAGATAAAGCATCACGTATTGGACTCTTGCCCTGTTTAAAAAGGGTAAACATGGAAATAGTCAAGCTGCAAAGTGTCTTGTGTATGGAGAATGCTGACATGTTAAACAAATGCCTAAGAGACTTCACAGATGGCTCTGTTGTTCCAAAGCATTGTGTAAAGCTGTTCCACTATTAGTTGGGTGGCTATTCTAAACTGTGGCTCTAATTTTTAATTTTATTTGTGTATTATTAATAGTTTTGCTTTATTCAAAGGGACTGTTACCAGGTATTCTCTGTTAATTGTGTACAGTTCTAATTGTTTTCTATGAGAGTAAATAAGCTTTTAGTTTTTCCTGTGGGCAGACATTGCTTTGTTACTAAATGGTTTAATATCTAGTTAAGAACCAGGAATAAAAGAGAACTAAAGAGTATGTCATGTACTCCTAGATAAGTCACAATTTTGGAGGGCTGTTTTCATCATCTGTGAAATGAGTGCTCACTGATCAGTCCTCTTCTTCAGGGTGTTATAAGGCACTAGGTATTGGATCATTTTTCTGACTAACTTTAGTACCACATATTACTGTCACCTACACCCAATGGATCCTTTCTCTTAGTTGTAGAATTATTAGTAGGTATTCTTCAACACAAAGTAAAAGCTCTGAAACAACTCTCTGAGACATTCTAGTATAAATAGCAGTGTCTTAGTCTGCTCAGGCTGTTACAACAAAAATACCAAAGACTGGGTAGCTTATAAAGAACAGAAACTTATTTCTCACCATTCTGGAGACTGGGAAGTCCAAGATCAAGGTGCCGGCAGATTTTGGTGTCTGGTGAGGGGCCAGCGGGCCACCCCTATAATATTATTATTATTATTATTATTATTATTATTATTATTATTATTTTATAATACTTACTTTGAAATGAAATTATTTAGTCTCAGAGATGTCAAAATAACTTTCCTAGGACACAAAGCTAGTAAGAGGTAGGGCTAAAACTGGGAAATAGGTCTGTCTGTCTCTAGTTCATAGACAGCTCCTTTTTACTGTGTCCTCATATGGCGGAATGGGCTTCGGAGTTCAGTGGGGTTTCTTTTACGAGTACTAATCCCATTCATAAGGGTTCTACCCTCATGACCTAAGCACCTCCCAAGGGCCCCACCTTTTAATACCATCACATTGGACATTAAGTTTCAATATGTGAATTTGGGGGTGGAGACAGATATTCAGTCTACAGCAACTAGCCACCACATATATTACTATTTTCTATGTATTATCACTAATCATTTTTTTAAAAAAACTATATGGAAGGTATTATAATACTTATTATTATTTTTTTAAAGAAATTGTATTGGAGAACAGTGTGTTTTTCAGGACCCATCAGCTCCAAGTCAAGTAGTTAGTTGTCTTCCATCTAGTTGTGGAGGGCGCAGCTCAGCTCCAAGTCCATTCACTGTTTTTAATCTGTATATTTGTGGGGTGTGCAGCCCACCACCCCATATGAGAGTTGAACTGGCAACCTTGTTGTTCAGAGCATGCGATAACCAACTGAGCCATCCGGCCACCCACCGGCAGCTCAGCTCAAGTCATTGTCTTCAAGTCTAGTTGTGGAGGGCGCTGCTCACTGGCTTATGTGGGAATTGAACCAGCAACCTTGTTGTTCAAAGTATGCGTTCTAACCAACTGAGCCGCCGAGCAGCCCCTATAATACTTATTTTTAAATGAAATAATTTAGTCTCAGAGATGTCAAAATAACTTTCCTAGGACACAAAGCTAGTAAGAGGTAAAGCTAAAACTGGGAAATAGGTCTGTCTGGCTCTAAAAGCTCTTTTCTCCTCTTATTCAGACTTTCTGATTTTGCACATTTACATTGAACAGAGTCAACATTTTTGTACTCCAGACCTTTTACTTTGATATTTTTTAGTGTAGTAGTTAAAAGCCAAGCTTTAGAATCACACTGCTTGGGTTTGACCCCCCACTCTGTCTTTTTGAACTTTGTGACTTCGAGCAAATTATTTAATCTCGCAATGCCTCACATTCCTTCTAATTTATATGGTAGTTATGAGGATTAAAGGAAATAATGAAAAGCATCTAGAATAGGTTTCTGGTAAGACATCAATACCTATTAATTGTTCTTATTATTTAGCATTACAGTCAGTGTTCTCTAAGTACTTTTTGAACCTTCAGCTAATGCTTTATGTTTTTAGTTAATACCTTTATTGTAGGTAATTTCTAAAAGTGTGTGTATGATGTATTTTATTTATACATATACTTTTTTGACAAATAGAAATAAATTTATAACTATAATTTTCACAAGCAAATAACACATACTTATAAACATTTCTTGAACTGAAGAGTTAGCACAAAGTATAGAGACAAATGTAGAGAAAGGAAGAAGCTAGAGTCGTAACTAGTTATAGATTATTCCCCAAAACTTTCTACCACAAAATTGGATTTGTGAAAGGTAAACATTATCAATATTGTCTCATCTAACATTTTTGAAATTTTTCTTTTGCTACTTTTCATTTATGTACCTATTTAAAGATACTTATTGAACATTTTCTGTGTGACTGGTACTATTTTAAATGATGATTAAAAAAATAATAATAAAAATAAAAACCCTGTTCTCCTGGAGCTTAAATTCTAGTAGGGGGATAAAGATAATAAAGTAAGAAAGTAATGATGTATATTAGAAGACGATAATTGCTTAGAGAAAAATAAAGCAGTGAAAGAGGAGAGGGAAAACCCAGGAATAAATGGTGATGGTGACTGAGTGTTGAATTTTTAAGTGGGATAAGCCTGGAAAAGCCTTATGGAGAAGGTCATATATGAGCAAAGACTTGAAGTACGTTTGGATGAGCCACATGGTTGGGTATCTGGGAAATGAGCGTTCAAGGAGAGGGAAGAGCAAACGCAAAGGCCCTGGAGTAGCAACAGGCCGGGCATGTTCAGGGATTGGTGACAGACTGTGTGGCTGAAGTAGAGTGAGCAGGGAAAACAGTAGTAGGAGATGGAATCAAAGAAGTAGTGGAGCCATGGTGTCTGGGTCCCCGTAGGTCAAATAATAACTTTGGGTTTGACTGAGTGAGATGACTAGCCATTCAATGTTAAGAGCAAAGGAGTAGCATTATATGACTGAATTTTTAACAGGATATGGCTGCTGTACTGAGATTGGGCTATAGAGGTAGGCAAGGGTGGAAACAGGGTGTAGACCTGTTCAGAGGCGACTGGAATAAAATTAAGGTGAGAAAAGATGGTGGCTTCGTTGGTGGCTCAGTGCTCACTGGTAGCAAGCAATTCCAGTGGTGATATGTGGTAAGAAATTGACTAAATGTTTGCTGACAAATTGGTGGAGGGTGTTAGAGAAAGACAGGAGTCATGCTTTCTACTTTTTTTTAATCGGTAAATGCAAGTCATGGCTTTTATTTAATACAATATGAATAAAACCATCTGTATCGGCCCTAAATTTCCTCTTCCTAGATTATTGGGTATTTTAGTTTACTTTGCGGGAAATCCACCATGTTATAATTGAAAGTACTGATGTCACACAAAAGAGGGAAAGCATCTTAACAATCACTTTATTAGTTTGGACCAAGCATTATCAAATTATGGCCCAAGGGCCAAATCTGGCTCATAGCTTACTTTTCTGAATAAAGTTTTATTTGTGCACAGACACATCCATTTATTTACATATTGTCTATGGCAGCTTTCCTGCTATAAAAGCAACAGAGGCCCACAAAGCCTAAACTATTTACTACCTGGCCCTTTACAGAAAAGAGTTTGCTGACCCTTAGTTTAGACCATAGTTTAATAAGAGTTGTGTCAAAATTTTTCTCTGATCTTTTTCTAACCACTCAGTGTTAAAGTATAAAGAGAAAATTGAAGAGGGGACATGAAATGACAGTAGAGAACAAAAAAATGCAATATTCAAACATTGGCATTGACTGATTTCTCTTCCTTATGTTAATTTAATCTCCCTATTTTTTTGCCAAGAGTATCCACTCCTCTCTGGTCTTCGTAGTGCTCTGTGTTTGGGAATAAGCATAGCTGACTGGCCTGGGGAGGTAGGGATGGGGGCGGGGAAGAGCAGAGAGGGAGGTTTTTCTCAACAGTAAAAGTTTACAGTAGGAATGAATCTTGGGTGTTAGAGACTAATTGTTGAATTTCACAGCCTTGATAGAAAATAAAAGTATCTGCATCAGTGTAAGCATCAATCTTTATAAAGAATTTGATTATTTCCTTATGAATGTGTAGTCCTATGATGAAGTACAAATAAATAAGACCTCCAATGTTGTAATGTTGTTTACTTTTATAGGTCTATAATGACAGATCTACACTACCTCAAACAAACAGATGGAGCAGGTGACTGGCGGGAAAAAGAGGCCAAAGATCTGACAGAGCTGGTCCAGCGAAGAATAATGTATCTTCAGGTAAGAAGGTTAGGTTAAGAAATAAACTTGAGTGAAAAAAGAAGGGAAACTATAATGTAAAAGTAAGAGTTGTTACTGGTTTTTAGTCTTCCTAGCCCTTGCTTTTTGAGACTGTTTACTCACTCATTTCACATATTTATTCAGAAAAGTTCCTTGAGTGTAATACATAGATGGCTAAAACAAGGCTCCTGCCCTAAAGAGGGCTACTTCTGAGACACACACACACACACACACACACACACACACACACACANCACACACACACACACACACACACACACACACTCACACACACTCACAGTACAAAATAGAATGTGCTACTTTTTATACAAGAGATATAGATAAAATGCTCATTGGAGGAAAGAGATGTCAGGGATAGCTTTATGGAAAGCGTATTATTTGAACTAAATTGTAAAGGATGATCAGGCAGGATTTAGACACACAAACATGGAGAAGAACACACTAGCTGAAGCATATGATGTAAGTAATGGTCCACAGCTGGGAAAGAGCAATACGGAAACCCAGTGAGAGATGGGATGTTTTAGTTTGTCTGGAGTTTTGGGTTATGTGAAAAGGAGGGATGGAAAATAAGCTGGGAAAAGGTAGGTTTGGGAGCCAGATTGTGGAGGCCCTTGGGCATAAACAGTAAGTGGTTTTATTACTGTTAAGAAATATTTTATTTCTTGTATAAAATCATTATAAAAACAAATAGGAAATAGAAATCAAGGGTGAACTCCAAGTCCCAGGCCATTTTAAATTTATTATTTTCATTTTTTGGTATTCTCTTCTAGTTATTAATATGCGTACCCAATCTTACATATTTGTGAGGATAGAATTGATTTACTTTTTATTTTTTTCTTCATCTGCTGTAAGCTTTCTTTCTGTTTTGGAGTCACAACTTACTTTTGATAGGTATTTAGACGTAGGAGTGGCGCGATGAGAGTGGTGCATTAGTGATATTAATACGAAAGTAATATTTTGGTTGAACTGTGTTAGTATTGGAAGAGAGCAGAAACAAGGAGACCATATAGGATATAGGACTAGACAGCAGGTGAGAAATATTGAGGTAGGTGGCAGTTTGCACTGGAAATGAAGAGACAAATTTGAAAGAGATTGAGAAGATAGAATTGATAGGCCTTTCCAAGTAGGTGAAAGAGCTGAAATGACTGGGATAATGGAGGCATCATTAACTGATAAGGAACTTAAAGGTAGAATATAGTCTTTAGGGAAAAACAGTGAATTAGTAAGGAGAAGTCTTAACACACAAGAAGTTTAAATGACATGCGTATCCTTTCTAATACTAGTGATGGTATAGTTTCTGTGTACAATCACTCTTCTTTCAAAGTTCAAGTGTCTTATAAAAGCAAAATAATAGCCAGTGCCTTGGTTTTGTATATTTTAAGGTACACATTTTCTTATACTTAAATAGGAAAAAATAGAAAATCAAGTGTTTAAAGAGATCATTAAAAACCAGACTGATCTTGGCATGCTGTCTTAGTCTCATACTCCCATGGTCATTCATCAGAGGTGTCTGCAGAATGAGAAACACTTGCCCCCTGTAGGGAAGAGGTAATTATCTCCTATCAACTAGAACCTCATTCAATGAACTATAAACAGCTGGTGGTGCAGAACTATCATCTTCATTTAAAATGGAAATAACTATGGTTCTGAGTTTCTTCTATTTCTATGTATTCATTAAATTTTCACCCAACAAAAATTATACTTAAACTATGATTTAGTCATAGTTCAGCTCTCCGCTCTATAACAACTACCTGCCACCTGCTTTAGTATTTATTTTCCTCTTGGTTTTTTAACTGACCAAGTACCCGTAGTGCAAATTTCATCCTAAATGTGCTGATTTCTCCTGTTCTGTATTAGAGATTTCACTTGTTAAGTCATGTGAATGATTTAAAACTAATTGGCTTTATAATCTTTTAGGCTATAGCAAAACAGCATTTCAGTTGGATCTTAAGTTCAGTTTCAAATATTATATTTAGTAAATTATTACTTTCATGCTTTTCTCTTTTTTTCCATTGAAAAAGTAATTTTTAATATTCAAGGAGATGGGGAAAGTCTCAGTTAAAAAAACATATTTTAGAAAAATATTTTTCTTTAATTATTTAATGTACTCATGATCATTTTTTCTATCTAGTCTAAAAGTTATTTGAAGTCAAGAACTATATTTTTAACATTTTATTTGTTAGAGGTTAAAGATGCCACTCACTCTTCATCTTCTCTGGATAGAGGTGAATAAGGGTCCTTTCTTCCATCCCAACAAAATTAAACATATATATTTGGAAGGAATGCTTTGGAATATTTGTTCCCAGAGTATTTTAAAGCACAACAGCTACTATAAAAAGAATGATTTGTCACTGTTTTAATAAAATGGTGTAGAAAGTTTATCAAAAGAGTTGAGCTATTTGTACAGATTTTTAAAGGTGATTACATTGTTTTACCACTGCATCTTTTCTTGGTATTCGAATCTATTGGTATTCTCACACTGTTACTTTAAGTGAAATATTAGTGTAAAAAGGCTATGTAAGCAACTTAAATTCTGAAAGACTTCCAGAGGGCTTAGAAAATTAGTATAGTAGGAAATAAAGCTAAAAACTGAGATAAAGAAAAAAAACCATTGACCATTAATACTTGTATTCAAAATAAAAATAAACACTTCATGTAACTTGTTAATGAGATTTTAGAGTGCTGTCCTTGTTTAGCCCATCAGCCAGCAATTATATAAAAGATGATGATAATTTGTATCTGAGTAGGGAATAATAGGGAAAAGATACAATAAAAACATATATTTTAGATATTTTAAACCTGCTTGGGAGACTTTAGTCATTTAAATACCTTATTGTATCCCTGACAAATAATTCAGACTTTATAATTTACTTTCAATGATTGGATTCGGTAGTTGAAAACATTTTCAGTTTTACTAGATTTTTACTCGTACTGAAATTTATCAGTTCTCATTATAACCAACAAACATTTTTTTAAAATTCTGATTTGTTTAAGATATAATGCAAAACCTAGTACAAAGAAAATAACCTAGATTAAGCCTGTCTTAATCCAACAATAGGTTTCATTTTAAATCTAAGCTTTTCTTTATGCAATTCTGTAATCCTTTGAATTGAGCAAATATTATGTCTCATGAAAATCCTGCTTGACTCACAGTCATGTAGTTCTGTTAAGTTTGGTTTCAATTTTAGATTTCTATACATTTATCCTATACCTTAGTATTACTTGGGAGAAGCAATTTCACAAAACATACTGGAAAATAAAAAGGTTCTTAGGGCAGGCAACTGGACAAAGCTCCATGGTTGTCTTAATTAAAATTATTTTCTCTTTAGAGTTGAAGGCCCTGTGGCGTGGTATAAAAAGACTAAACTGACTAAAAGATTATAATAGTCTCATTGAGGACAATCCCTGCTTTGCTATTAGGCTCAAGTAGAATGGACCAAGTAATTCTCTTAAGGTCTTAGTCTTTTATATATTTATCTAAAAAGCTCTTTATCCATAAAGAGAACATGTAATGTTGGGTTGTTTTAAATTCCATTTTGTGCTGGTGTTTACTTTTGTGCTATATAAATCATAACAAATTGTGAAAGTGCTATTATTTATATTTCTCTAGTTTCTGATACTGAGCTCAGGCCCATTTTAAAAGTGCACATTGATGATATTTTTGTTATGAGTCCACATTTTACCATAATGTAAGTCATTTTTGTAGACTTTTGAATGACACGGAAGAGACTCATTTTTCATTATGGTTATTAAGATTTACTTTGTAGTTTCTAATTAGTTCATATTAAATTCTAATAGGTTCATATTAAGTAAATACAATGAAAGAGATCACAGTGCTTTAGTTTCTTTACTTGTTTGGTAAAGTTGGAAGTTGGCAACTATGATAGAGAGCTCCTAGTTAGGGCATATAGATTTTTCTCATTTTAACTTGAAATTATCTGTCTCCTGATACAGGATTTTTTCTGCCTAGCCCCAAAGATAACATTTCAAGCAAAATTTAGACCATTTCAGGTGGAATCTAAGTAAAGTATATAAAAAGTAGTAGTAGTAAAAGATTTTTGTTTGTTTTGGAGGCTTTGTTTTATTTATGTTTTGAATAGGACTTTTACTGGAAATTGATAGGTTAATAGTTTTCCTTTTTTTGAGAGGGAGAGAAAACTAAAAGATGTGAAAATGGAGAACAACTATTTTATTTTTTATGCGATAGAGATTTTTTTCTTTCACTTGAAAATAACAGACTAGTTGGAGATATAGCAATTTTCTCTTTTCCTATATGGATCCAGTGACTGTGGATGGTCTTTGGAATGGAAAGTGGCCAAGGTCATACTAGTAATGCTTTCTTGAGGCTATTAAACATGTATTTTAGATTGTGGAGAGAAGCCCTCCACCCCATACAAGATGTGTCTGACCCCATTATTCTTGGACAGGACAAATTCTTTCAAATAAATTTAAGGCCAGATATGAGGTCTGACAATTAAGATTGCGAACTCATCCTAGAAAAAGTGCTGCATACCTCATTGCTGAATATCACTATGGTCACCTTCAAAGTCCTCCCCTTGGGAAGCTATGCATCGACACCAGCACCTACTCCACCCTTCAAAGCAATTTTGGAACTCGTTTTCTGGAATGGCCATCAGAGCTGTCGTCGTATTACCCTTGATGTCCTGAATGTCATCAAAATGTCTTTCTGTCAATATTTCCTTTATCTTTGGGTAAAGAAAGAAGTCATTGGGGGCCAGATCAGGTGAGGAGGGCAGGTGTTCCAATACAGTTATTTGTTTACTGGCTAAAAACTCTCTCACAGACGGTGCCATGTGAGCTGGTGCATTGTTGTGATGCAAGAGCCATGAGTTTTTGGTGAAAGTTCAGGTCATTTTCGTCTAACGTTTTCATGCAGCCTTTTCAGCACTTCCAAATAGTAGACTTGGTTAACTGTTTGTCTAGTTGGTACAAATTCATAATGAATAATCCCCCTGATA